AACAAACAAGCGTGAGAAACAACACAAATACTTTAGAATCCCAGGTTACAAGTATGGTAACCGATCATCACAACACACCCGATCTATTCCAGGACCTTATTCAAGACAACCCCTGGAGCTTGGTCCAAAAAGTACCAATCACTAACAACTCTATACAACAAACCCAATCAAAAGAAGATATAGATGACTATATGGATACTCAACCTAATACAACTACAGAATCTTCCACACCTTCAAAGATGTACAGTAGTGCACTTACCTCTAATCTCCTAAAAAAGAAATATACTAAAGATGATCGCTCACTCACCTGGTGTAACTCTGTTACTATTGTACTAGCAAAAGCACGTACACTGAATTTTGATACAACAGTCTGGGACAATGATACAATTATTAATGCCTTTTTATCATCTGAGCTACTTTTAAAATTCTTTCAATACAAAATCCAAGCGAATCTAACTCAATATAATCTACCAAATGCAATTAAAACAAAATTAAAATACTTGGACTCAGCTTTCTTTTGATCATTTATGAAAAACAAAGAAACCCAACTACAACATCAAAAGGAATTCAATTTATTATTACAAATAGCAGTAGAAAAATACAAAAAGCTCCACAATGCTCACTTTATAAACAAATTCAACAAAAACCAAATCCTCACAAAACTTAATGCCAAAATAGCCTTAGACTTCATTTGTAATACAGACTTCCTTACCAAAAGCTCACATAATTGTATATGAATAATTACCTACTGTCTCAACTTTGCACAAATAAACTGTACTCTCAGTTTTGAAGAGCTACGTAGCTTGATCAATGAGACTCACTCAATACTACTTATTTCTTTACCCCAAGATCCACTTGAAATAGATCAATCAATTCAACAAATTCTCCTCTTTCTGCTACCAATCCAAGATTGTAAACTTACCCAAGCAACTATACTAGCCCTACAAAAGATTTTTATCTTTGACAAGCTTCCTGATAGCTACTTTTTTACTATTCTTGAACCACTGCCAAATGACACTGCTAAACTCTATGCTGAAATCTGGGACCTTTTCCCAATTACAGAATGAGCTAGATTGCTATTTCTCTCTGATTATCGCTTAAAATTAATGCAATACTACATAGTAGAAAGAATTCCTCTCAATTACTTTAACTTACTAGAAGCAAAACCCAGACTTCCATCAACTCCTCAAAACCTCATCTCAACTATTCGCCATCTGTTCCCCTGTAATCTAACTGATGCTTCAGAATTTTATAGATATATCAATATCCTTAGAGAACACTACAGCTTTCATCATATTCCTAATGATTTCTTTGTGCAAAAGAAACCACTTTCAGTAGATCTATATGCTATTAAGACGACTACAACTTACAACTTTCTTATCTCTAATACTCACCAAGCTAAAAAATTTATAGCAGAGATCCAAAACAAATATAAATTTAATATCCTACTTCCACTTATCTACATGACTGTCAACTTTACAAATAAACCTTTACTCCCAAACGAACATACCCTTATTACTGAAGTAAATCTAACAATACCAATTAGCAGCCCCAAAGCTTTAGTTAATACTGCCCAACTTTTGAGAGAACACTACTTCTTCTACCAAATTCCAAGTGAGTGGATCGAAATTCAGATTACTCCAAATACTTCAAAAAAACCTTCACTTCTATCTCAAATTTTAGAAATTATTTCCTATCTTAAGCAAACAAATTTTTATCACACAATTCATATTCCAATTACTGAACAGGAAAAAATTGAAAGCACTATTACAGAACTACAAAACCACTTTAATTTTAAAGGCATACCTTTGTATCTTCTCAATCTCTCCAATCTACCAAACCCCCACTGGGATATTCTAGATAATTATTCTCTACTACTATAAATAAAAATTGGCAAACTGGCTTACTGCCTACCAGATATAATCTGACAAATTTATATTTTACATTCTTCGCTAAGCTATTCTATCTAGTGCTTAGATCTGATTATCTGTTTATCTAAATATAAGTAGATAAAACACTTAATCCAAATAATTTATCTGATCGACAAATTGATAACTTTTAATCCGAATTGACCAAATTTATCTAATAAGATATCTAATTCAAAATTAAACTTATTTATCGTTATTATTATCATTATAATCATTAAGTGCAATAACTAGTAATTGCTTTAGAATTTTTCATAGGTTAGTAACGAAGGTCTTGTGATCGTATGGGTAATCAATCAATGATATAAACGCAAAATCGAATATGATGTATGAAAAAGTAATGAAAGTTAAATATCGTATGATAAATTCGTAATGATAAATGATGTAATTAATTTAAAGTCAAATATATAATATAAAAAAAGTAAAAAAATAAACAAATTTAGTTATCTCTTTTTACTTAACAACTTCGAAATTTTAATTCTAAGTAAAATGAACTTACAAGCCATTTTAGAAGAAAGTAATAAAAATAGCTTTTTAGCTTTTCTTGATCATGAATCTGTGGCTTCTTCTGATTATCAATTAGCCAATGTTATTAAACGTGGTAGATCTCAGTCTACTAGCAAAGTTTGAAAATACTTTGATAAAGATGATACCTGGATATGATATTTGTTGTGTTAAAGTTATTAGAAAAGATAGTACACAACTATACAGTAAAAAGATATGTTATTCAGGTTCTACAGAAATTATTAGTACCACTTAAGAACTGCATATGGAATTTTTAATACTGATGATGATGATTCAACAAGTGATCTACCAGATGAAGAAAAAAACCCATTAAAGAAAAAACATATAAATAGAATTATAGTTAAGTTTATAGTTAAAGATCAACAACCGCTTTCAGTTCTAACTGATGAAGGTTTTACTGAGCTAATAGCAGAGGCATTTCCATTTTACAAATTATCCTCAGAAAAGATGGTTAAATCAATATTGTTAGAATCTTATAATTATGTTAAACAAACTATAAATCTTAATATTTCA